GCCATTCTAGGACAATGCATCGCAGTCCCCAGAGACGACAGGGACCGGCAGCAGCAGCAGGTCCCTGCAGAGGCCCAACAGCGCCCTCTGCTGGCCTGTGGTTGCCTAGCACTCACCTTCTCCCGCTTATCAGGTTCGCTGTTTTCATTGAGGAGAATCTCAAACATTGTCTGTACTCTGGAGTCTGTAGAGAACTGCACCCGGAGCTGAAGAGAGAGGAGAGAGTGCAGGAGGCAGCCACATCATTTCAGTCGGCTTCAGTGAATATTAAGATATCTATTCTGCCCCTCACCCACCACTGGTATCCATTCAACAAACCTTTACTAAACTACTACTACAAGCCTGATGACATTCAAGTTGCTAGGGGTAGAATGATGAACAAAATAAAGTCCTTGCCCCATGAAATTAATAACATCTGTCACACCATTTAGTCACCAAAAGTCTTAGAAGTCAAAGGATCATCACCCACTGTCGGAGTCTCACAAACAATGAGCTGTTAGGCAGAGATAGGTTTCCAGTATCAGAAACCTGAAGCAATGGTCAACTACTTTTCCCAGCCATTCTGTTGGGCATTCTCACCCCTCACCCCTCCACCCCCAGTCCCACTCCTCCGAGGCACTCATTAGATGACCCCACCAGCCCACCTTCCCCCCTCTAGCTCCTTCTGGTCTCCCCCACTCTGCTCCGTTGCTCCACAGTCCCACCTACTCTATCCTGGGCCCATTTCCTGCAGTGGCAGGGAGCCTGACATTGGTACCTGAGCTCCACTCCTCAGCCCTGAGTCTGCTCTGGGCCACGTGGTCCCACCTCGAGATGGTCCCAGTGTGCGGGGGTTACTGAGTGTTGGAGCAAAGGGCTGAGAGGTCAGTTGCCCTCCTGCTCTTGCGAACAGGAAGCCAACACCCTCAGATCACTAGCCCAAGATCTCTCCTCCCCACTCCATTTTCCCAGAAAAGATTTCCCATTCCCACTGGTTCCTGATTCTCCTCTGTTTCCCAGCAATACCCATCCTTCCTGATTTGTTGGTACCTGATACCTCTTTGCCCCTCTAGAAAGAGAGGAAGAGCATGTTGCAGGCATACTATACGTTATTTTATTAATATCCTCCATATGGAATTTAACAGACTCACCTTTAGTCCTGGCTGCGTGGCCTCAAACAAGCATCGGGGTTTCTCTGACCACTCACAGCTGGACATACCTACTCAGCTGTTCTGTGGCTTCTGCTCTCTCCCTCTCTAGCATGGAGGTAAGAATAGATCTGCCTCCTGTAGGCACTCCCCGAACTTGTGAACCTGCACTATAGAAATGGGAGGAGATGCTCAATGCTTGTGGGAAGAGGTTTGGCTCACCTTCTCCTGGATGCTGGTGTTGAGCCTCCTCAAAGTCTCCTGGAAGTTCTGGTTCCGTGGCTCCAGGGTTGCACATCGCTGCACGTCTTTGAAGGCCTGATCCAACTTCCCCAGCTGCTCCAGTGCCTGGCATCGCCGATACAGAGCCTTGATGTCGGAGGAGTTGATGTCGATGGCTGGGGAGGGAGACAGCAGGGCCTCCAGGTGCTGGACTGCAGACCATCTTCCTCCCTCCCCCAACTCCAGGGCTCCTGTGTCTTCACTGGAGATTGCCCATTGCCCAAGACCCCCCTTGTTGGGGAGAGACTAAGCAGCATAGTCTCGAAGTTAGTAAGGAGCCCAACTCCTGATGGTCCCCTTCTGCTACATGATGATCCCAGCCAAGTGCTCATGCAGCTGGCGCTTGCAAAACTCTAGGGGTGAGGAACACCCCCTTCTGATGGCAGCTGCATCAGAAAACCTCCTTCGTACCACATATATACCTCCCTATAAACCTGCCCTTATACCCTAAGTCCTGCCTGGAACCGTCGGATGAAATCCAATCCTTGCTCCTTGATGGCCTTTTAGGTAATTGACGGCAGCTCTCCATCCCAAACCCACCTGGAAGTTGACCTCTCTCAGCTAAATATTGCCACTTCCCTCAATTGCTTTTCACAGGATGTTCCAGTCCCCACTCCAGAAGGGTTCTGTTTTAACTCACTCCAGACTGGCAACCAGATCAAAACCCAGCATAGAGCAATGTGGAGGCTTCCCTTCATTCTGCACATTATATCCCTAAAACGCAGCCCAGACACCTCCTACTCTGATCATGTACTTAAGCCCAAATTCTCAACTGCTCCCTGAGGTGCCAGTCTCTCTCCCTCCTAGTGCCTCATCCCTTTCCTCAGGGAATCCCATGCACCGGTTGCAGCCCCCACAATAAGCAACAGTTCAAGTCATAGCATGACAGAAGTTCTGGAAGCATCATTTTAAAAGCTGCTCTAACATATTTAACATGTGAAAATGTGACTTGGAACTCTTCTATCATAAGATGGTGAAGCCTAGGATGGTGCTCACACAGTCTGCAGTTCCTAGGAATGTCAAGAGCCTCAGACAAAACAGGGTACTGTGGGGGGGGGACAAAGTGGAGTGAAGGGGGCTCACCTCTAGAAGCATCTGAAGCCGCCTGAACATAGCTCTCCTGAGAAACGGGGGAGGAGGAGACTGTTAATGTGGGTCAGGGAGCAGAGACAGAGAGGGCTCCCACAGGCAGGAGGAGGGCAGGGAGCACCCCTCTCTGGGAATGGAAAAGTAGCTGGCATTTGATATCAGCAACTGGGGCTCAATCCTGGTTCTGCTACTAACTACCTGGAGACCTGGACAAGTTATTGAGCTCTGTGAGCCTTGGGCTTCTTATCGCAATATGGCTGGGGATACTTGAATACAGCTTCACAGGCTGTTACTAAAATGTCACAAAATAACACAGGACAAGGCCCAGAGTAATGCCAGTTTCCACTGGGCTAATTCCCAGCTGGAGGAATTTCTGCACTCTGAACAAGGGGTCAGAAGGTTGGGTTCAGGAAAGTGATGGGAGCCCCCCCCCCCAGGCCAGAGGGCCAAGGACAGTGAGGACAGATGGGCC